ATTGACATAATATTTGGGAAAATAATATTCCTACAACTGTTATGTGCCTACCAATACGTTTTGACAATCAATGGTAAGAAGTAGACCTACTTTATTAAAACATTTTGTTTGGTATAGCATGTTTCGTTGTTTCCTAAATAATATTCTATTATAGAAGCTGAAGTATTAGTCATTGGATCATTTTCTAGATATAAAATATGAATTCAGGGCTTAGTCTTGTCTTTGTATTTACAGATATATATATACGACACAGTGAACCACCAATAGTATTTTATTGCTTTCCAAACAGGACACACAGTACAAACTCAACCACTGAAACTATCGTGCCATCGGGGAAAACAACCAAATTAAATTATGCTCTTAAAGTCAATGGCTTATTGTCCTTATTGGCTCGATAGCTCTAAGTATCAGTCTTAATATTCGAATAAATAATCTATTTTAGGAGAATAGGTACCCTGCACTAATATAAAAGCAGTATTTTGAAGAAATTTGTTTTCAAATTATAACTCATACCCAGCACTAATATATGCAATTGTAAGTAGACATAGTATTATTATTATATTTAACGTTAAAAAGGCATCTTAAATTGTTGTGCCCAAACGTTTAATAGCTGTAGTTGTGGTCTAGTACCTACCTTAAGGTATTTTATAATATTAATTAATTGACCTTTAAATATAACACTATACCTTTGGCGATGGGACAATGCTGTATGTGGAAATCATGCGGTCCGGGTACTCTTCACGGATTTTCGCTATCATTAGGGTGCCCATTCCGGCACCAGTACCGCCTCCCAGCGAATGCGTCATTTGGAACCCCTGCAGACAATCGCAAGCTTCTACTTCTTTTCTAAAACACAAAATGTTGTTTTGGAGCTTTAAAAATTGCTTTAATCGTCGGACGTCAACAGATGTACGATGAAACGGTATGCTTAAGTATGCGTCATTAGGTAAGTCGTAGGTACCTATACTAACGCACGGGAGGCGTCACGCTAAGCAATTTCATATTATTACTTTATTTGTAACTTAAAATTTTGTCAAATAACAAAATAATTTAGCAATATTATAGCCTACAGGTATGACGTATAGTATGTTTCAATTTTTATATTTGATCACTGAATAAAAGTGATCCATTTATGTTTTTATTTTAAAAATAATATTAATTTAAACAATTAAAAATTGCATTTTTTAATCCCTATACATTGAATAAATATATAATGCTTCGAAAAAAGAAAAACGGTGTTATCCATTTGGCTGTAGTCAACATGCACTAAAACTTATCCAAAATATAATGTACAACATGATATAATTTGCACCAACATTTTGGAAATGTGTTTGTAATTTTCACCAAAATAATTGTATAATTGATTTGTAATTTGAACCATCTTAGGTAGTAAGAAATCGGAATTGTAATTTGCACCAAAATTCAAATCGATTATTTTTTCGATACTACTTAGTACCTACGTACAGTGGCGATAAGAACATGGTATTTGAGACCTTTATTACCCAGATCAATATGACTGTAAAAAACAATTACTAAACAATAATTATAGAAAGCATTTAATTGTTGGTAGATAGGTTGGTTTATGGGTTAGGTTTTTGTTAGGTTTCCTTGTTTCCCCCTGGGTTTCTTCTAGGTTAATTTAGGTTCATTTCGCGACCGTTCTACGGTACGTCAGTATTGACTTTAAAACTATACTTTACTTATAAGTTATAACAATAGCACATGAAAAAGTAAAAACATATTATACGGTATTATAATAAATGCATTATTTCAGACCAAAGTAAAATTTTTTAACAATTAATGATTTAAAATTATATTTACCTTGGTTTTTAGTTATACAATAGACAGAAAAATCACTAGATTATATTAATTTATATGATTTTAACATAAATCACGATTCTGTTGAGCTGACAGAGCTGACATTGAGTTTAAGCTGAGCTTATAAATGTTGCTGCAGGTAGCTATATATCTCAAATAAATATATAAGTATGTATTTTTGACCGATGGTGCAAATCGCATAGGTGCCTACCTTTATTTGGGTGAAACTTACAAACTATCATCAATTTTGTTTATTTTTAATGATGGAAGAGAGGTAACATTATTAATCTTTGTTGGTGATAGGCTTTATATTGGAACTTCCGTGAGCCCGAGAGACACTTTAATATGCTACTCTTAAATGTCTATTTGGACGATGGGGTACATTATTAAGCGTATGACGTACTAACGGTTATTTTTTTACCACAGCTTACCTCTGCATAATATTTCTCATAATTCAATCTCATACCTGATTACGTCGAACACCGAATCCATCAACTCGGCGCCTTCGGCGTAATGGCCCTTTGCCCAGTTGTTGCCCGCTCCCGATTGTCCAAAAATGAAGTTATCCGGTCGGAACAACTGACCATACTCACCCGACCTCACCATGTCCATGCTGCCAGGTTCCAAATCGACGAGGACTGCTCGGGGCACGTACTTTCCGCCTAAAAATGTCACACACACGTCACAGGTATAACCGTTTTACTGGCATAGTGTCGCAATATACTGGGAAAGTAATCATAAAATAATATTAGAATTCGTGTCCGGTCTTACCAAGGGCCTCGGTATAGAAGACATTGATCCGTTCCAACTGTAGATCGGAATCCCCTTTATACGTTCCGGTTGCATCGATGCCATGCTCATCGGATATAACTTCCCAGAACTATACAGTATTAAGAAAGCCCGTAAAAAAAATTCTGAGCAGTTTTTCCAAACTTAAGGCGGGTTTCCTTTATACGCGTGTGTGTCGTGTGAACGAAAAGTGTTTATCTATATCCAACAACACGGTAAAGTGGTTAATCGTGTGGTAAGTGGTAACCTAACCAAACCCACCAATCACAGCAAACAATTTAAGCGAACGTATATTTGTGGAAACCCGTCTTTATTTGGAGTAGAGTTTAGAACATTCTGTGGAGTAATGGTATATCAAGGCGGCTTGATATTATAATTAATAATAATTTTATTGTCATGTCCAAATATAATTACTTTAGCGCCGATTTGATTGCCGCACTGACCAGCTTGTATGTGGCAGATTTCTCGCATGATTTTCAAGTACGATTACTTTGAATTTAAAAATGTGTGACGGACCCCGCCGTTATGGTTTAAAAGTATAAATTTATTTGTAATTTAATGAGTTAATTTAAAACATGATAATTTTTGTGATAGCTTAAAATTTTTGTGTTTTTAGTTTATGTTATATTTTAGTTTGTTAATTTATCCCTATGGATTTTTAACTTTGTTTATGGTAACCACCATAATTGTTTGTTCGCCGTATCTGAGTCGTAACTATAAATTTAATTAAATAATATGAATTTTATTCCATCAACATTTCTTCGATGAAATAATTTTGTAAAAATATTTAAGAAAAAATATCCTGTTCTTATATATGTTACGTGCAAAGTGGAAAATTCGGACAATGTATACGATGCCCGGGCATTGTATACAATGTCCGAGGTATATTGGGCTATGTAAATTGTGAAATATTTATACAAATAATCTGCATAATATATTTTGTTAGATGATCCTGATAAACGAATATGAACTTATAATCGCCATCTGATTGTGCTTGCATATCGATCAAGTCAATTTGACAGCGAGAATTCATTTTAGAAGATATGATTGGTTTTACAACCAACCTTTTTTAGCTGTACTTCCCTTATTTTTACACGATTCGCAATTATTTAAGTATAACATTATTATATCTCTAGTTATATAATTTTTGTACTTTTTATTAATCTCGTGTTCCATTCTATTTCTATCTCCATGTCCAATTGACAAATTAACTTCATATATAATATCATATAACTGAACATTATGCACATAATATTTTATTTTATTACCTTTAAATACATTTAAAATTTAATTAATTAAAAAAAAATTGTAATACTCTTATATAAATAACCTTAGTATATAATATCATTGATTAGGTATAATAATATTATGCAGATTATTTGTATAGATACTTCACAATTTACATTGCCCAATATACCTCGGACATTGTATACATTGTCCGAATTTTCCACTTTGCCCGTAACATATATATCAAATAAATAAAAATTTCTTATTCGACTACCAAACACCTATTCAGTATTATACCTCTTGAAACCGTATCTAACCATGAAAAGTTTATTTAAATTACATACCTACCTACCTACCGTATATAAAAATGTTTCTTTTAAGACATGTCAAAGTGTCTACTAGTTGTTTCTTAATTTAATAATATTATATTGACATACCGAAAAAATTACTTACTTATTTTTTTGAGGACTATTTTAAAATAGTTTGAGTTAAAATGTAAACCGTTCAAACTATGGTTCACAAAGTTTCTATATTATAATATACTGGGCACACATCGTCATAATATTCATTAAATAATATTTAAGTTTTATTGTCCATTATACCTACCTATTCTGTGTCTTAATAAATTGGTTTAAAGCTGAATATCGAATATCAAAAGCAATTTTTTATAAAAAGTGCTATAGGATGTACAAGAATACATAATCTTATTATACATACTCTTATTAACTGGCCCTTTGTTATAATTTTTTGAACTTTTAACTAAAATTATGTTATGCAATTTGTAGATACTTCTCAGTTATATAAATAAATTGTTATAACTACTTAAAGCCTTCTCTAACACTATAATTGTTTTTGCATTTTGAATTCAGTTGCCTACATAAGCAAAGCCTTAACAATGGCGAAGTTACCATATACCCATTACAGCCTACAGGTAAGAAAATAAAAGTTGGTGGAGTTTACAATCGCCCGTCACGATATCCAATATTACAATAATACACATTTTATATAGTTAGTATACATTAAGTATAAACTAAATATCATAGGTAGCTAAATTGAAGTATAATATTAAACCTCTTTTTTAAATTTTTTTATTTCGTATTTAAAAACTGATGATTAATTAAAAATAGTTGGTTTCTAACGTAACGCATTCCGATATTCTCGATACACAACACTCAGACAAAATATTTTTCAATAGACACAACGAGATACAACACATCTTAATTTTAACTCCAACATTTTAAGCCGACAAAAACATGGAAACTGCAAGCCAACACCAAAAACGATGCGAACAACAAAATTTGATGAACACTCTGAAAGAGATCCAAAGAGAAAACGTGAACAGAAGAATAAATTGTGGGCAGACGAATCCCGAACCGGGCCCCAAGAAGCGTACCCCTTGCTGTACCCTGTCATCCGTGACGCCGACTCCCTTGAGCAAGGCCAACATTTGCGAAAGAGATAAAGTACCGACTAGAAATTTTTGCACCACCCCTCGAGACGAATGTGACAGACCTGAACTGACCGCGTACGGAAGAGAGTTTATGGCGAACAATGGAAAATTGGTGAATAAAAAAAGATTACATTTTTAAAATATTAGGTCGATTGTTCCAAATCACTCAATCAGCGGTGACGCGGTGTTAAACACATATATCGATAAAAACTTCCAAATTATTGATAATTATTTAATTTGAAATTTAAATTTTTTTATTTCTCCCTTCTCCCCCATCTGCTAATATTTTCCGTATGTGCTCCAATGAAAGTGCCTCGACATATACACTAAAGAATATCATATTATCGTTGTTTGAGACTACCTGAATAATACACGATTTCTTATTTCAGGTTACGAGGTGTGTGTGCGTAAAATTCAACGGTCTTCAAGACTCGTGCCGGCATCCCGGGTGCTACACCAAGGTTGGATGTTTGGACAATCCGTTTCCAACTTGTCCTCCAGCACAACAGTGGAAAACCGATTACAATCAAAAACATAAGAAAAATAATAGATGCTAAAACTATGAGCCAGCCATAGGTACAATACCATATCAAACACTACTAATACGAACACTATGCAAAACATTCGGCAATGCTGTAACGATGTATAAACTGAGACGCATACATTATGTCACCTAAAATTCGTGTCGATACCAAAAATAAACGAATTTCATATTTTTAATTGAACGACTATTCTATAGTAGGCTCGACTTAGACAAGGCGCTGAATCTTGTTCGGCATCGTTGTCAAGAGACAAGAATTGATTCTCGCCATGTAACGATGCCAATGCCCGGTGCCAAATCCGGTGCTTGCAATGTTTTGTTGTTCACAAAAATATGCTCTAATATTGTACTGGCCGCATTGAACTGAGTTTTTCAATACTTAAGACACTGATCTTTAACTCTAGATCATTCAATTTAATAACTTACCAAAATAATGTTCTCTAAAAATGTGTTAAATATTAAGTGTTTGTATGATGCCAGTACCTATGCAAGGCAGAAATGAGAAAAATATAGTAAATACAGTAGAACCTCGATTATCCAAACTAATAAGGACCAGTACAGAAACTCGAAATTGGTGATATTGAGAATTTAATATTATATAATATGTAGGTACCTTTATTCTTCATGGTTGATACTACCAGTTAGATATTACATTATTATGTATTACATATATTACATATTATATACATTGGTAAATGGTGATGAATCATTACATTTTAAATAATTAACACTCTAAAATTTAAAAAGACGAAATTAAAATAATTATATAAAAACAAAAACAAAAAAAAATACTTGAAAAATGAAAAATAAGAATTAAATATTTTCTTATGTAAATTTGTATGTTCTTGGAACACATTTTAAGCTTGGTGAGCATCGTTGATGATTTATTAATTGATATGTACAGTAGATTTCAATTATAAGACTCATTTTGGGACCTGCATAAAGTGAGTGTTATAAGTTAAGTTGGAAAAAAAACAAAATTTTTAACTATTTATGAATTTTATTTTACTGCATATTTTGGTTTTACTTTAACATACTTTAATACATTTGTCGCCTTGAAGTTAACTTTCCCCATATTCGTCTGTAAAAATATATTATATTATACCTACTTTCAATATAATATTATATTATCTACTAATTAGTCATTATTTTTTAAATTGTAAATTGTAATTTGCAGTTAGCACCATTGAGTTCCCGTAGGATGTGTTCTACAAACCATGAAACTATAATGTAATTTTCTAATAATTATAATTAATGACCAATGACTACAATATGCTTATAGTATCCAAGCGATAATTATCTGACACAATTTCTCTATAAATAATCTACTTACATACAAAGTTTATAATGCAAATAACTTGGCATACCCAGTATTAAAATTCGTGTGGTAATTGAATGATTAAAAATTACATTATTTTATTTTCCGGGGGCACGTCATGGTGATAATATTAACGAAAGTGAAAGTGCTCTTTGTACATTCGAATGAGTTATTTTTTTTTGTTGAAAAAGATGGATCAAACTACACTGAAAGTCAGTTTCATCATCCAAAATATTACAATTATTGTTTAGAACGGACACATGCATGAAGATGCAATTCAGGTACACTTGTACATCATGTAGTCGTGACCGGCTATATACCGACTTGCCAATTTATCATGTTTTACATAGCTCATGTTTCTAAAATAAAAATAATAATATTTGACTGCTGGGAAATATTAATCATAATTTGAGACATCTGAGTGAAATAAAAACCAAATTTAGTGTTATTGTTGATTTACTGAACATTTATGTTTTGCGTTATCATTGATGCATCCAATATATATTATTAATAGTGATAGATGTTAGAGGATATGATGATTCAAATGTTATGATAATACTGTTTTATCCATAACATGACATTGTTTGGTTTATATTTATAGACATAGGCTTGGAAGGATCCAAGCCGATGATCTGTTGACCTGGTGTGAGGGGGTATTAATTTGAACGGGCACCACAAATAATATATTAATTATCTTGTATATACATTTTTAAATACATATAAGACTTATCAAATTCATCACTTGCATGTGTTGTTAATCTATTACTTAGAAATGGTGTAACATAGGTATATTAAATATAATAATAATAATAATTTAAAAATGAATAAATAAAATTATCACATAATTTTAAATTTATCTTATTTTTTTATAGTATAAATTGTATTTATTAAAAATAGGCTTCCAAGGTACAAGAAGTGTATTACAAAATCTAAATGTCGTGCAAATATAACATTATTTGCAAAGTGATAAATTATTTTACTATTGTTTATGTCTACTTACTGAAGTTAGTTGGTATTCTTGTATCCTGGAACGAAGCCTAGTTTATATCAACCTTAAAGTATACGAACTAGCGTCACATATGTTACATTCACAGTCAATGTATACAAAGTATGCAAAGAAGTAAAAAGTTTGCAGGAAATATGTTTTTATCACATTTAAGTATGGTTGTTGTTTACACAATAAAATATTTCTTTAAAAATTGTGTTATTATTTATGTGTATGGAAACTGTTTTGACTGGATATTTTTTTCATTTTAGGCAGGTTTTCACATTATCCAGGTTTCATATTATACAGGTTTTCCTTTTCTTTAAAAAAACTTGAAAATAAAATCTTAATTCTATCATTCGATTGTGACTAAACCAAATATTAAATTATTTAAATTATAAATTACTACTTTGTTAGAACAAATTCAAATATAGCCAATAGCATTGTAAAATATTGACGTTTTGAAGTGTTTAAGTACATGATCGGGGTTAGTCTGGTATCAACAGCTAAATTATGTATTAACAGTGATCAAATACTCAGACAATTTTTTTTTAAATATGTAGTAAAAATAACTAGATAGGTACAAAAAAATATGTTTTTTCTGGACTACTGAACATTCGTTTAAGCCAATATTCACCAGAATAATAACAGTTATTAACACCCGAACGTTTGTTTTAATTTTTATCTTGGTATTTGAACAACCAAATATATGTAGCACCAAAAACTCGAAACCCAAATAAATTATTCGGTTGCTAAACCCCTGCTTTTAAAAGAACGCTATCCATGCATTTGTTCTCCGTTTTTCACACGTACGGGTACGACACAATACATTTCCGTTCACTATTTTCAATGGCGTGCTGTTAGTTTTTATATTAGAGACTAGAGTGAATTGACCTATTATCAAATTTTTGGTTTGAACATTATCTTGGTTAGGTAATTTTTTTCGATATTATCATTTTTAAGCAAACCATGATTATATCAAATATCAAAAATTAAGAATCTTCATATCTAACTTGAAAATTAGTATCGAATAAAATCTGACATTTAAGTACCAACAAACAATTGAAACTAGTGAACGAACATCTACTACGTCATACGATTTTAAGACAGAGACAACAAACCCATGGGCTGCGTTCTCTTAATTATATCTGAAATAAATTATATTTTCTTGAAGTGTAAAAACCACTTAACTTTAGTTGAACCCAATTTTCTGATGGATAGTTCTATATTGTCACAACCACTCTCAACGAAATAAGATAATACTACGAAAATAACTCTCTACGACCAAACCCGACAAAAACTGAAATATGAGCATTCTACCTAAAAAACAGAGAAGCAAAGCGAATACTATTTATCCAGTAGAATAGTATTGAACTCAAAAATAACCAAAATCCAAAATATTTGGGCTTGACTTTAGACGGATCACTCAAGTACTAGGAACGCTGCGAAAAAAAACCTCAAAGTAAACACAAGAAATGGCCTACCTTGCAGGATTAGCATGAGGTGCTGAACCACACACCTACCTTGAGAACAACGGCGCTATCGTTATGCTCTCTGCAGGTGAAAATGCAGGAATATGCGGATGCAGCACCATGCCACTCAGTTCATGCAAAAAAAAATTGATATAACTCTGAATAAGACATGCCGTATTATTACGGACTGATTAAAGAACACAAAAATCGGAAAACTGTATAAACTGTCCGGCATATCTCTACCCCATATTTGACGACTGGTAAAAGCAGACTGGCGAAGAACTAAAATGGAAATGGATACCCGGCACGTTATGAATGGATTGCTAATACCAGAAAAACGACTAAAATCACGGAATATTTTCTTAAAAGGTACTACTAAGCTTAACATGACACCAAGTAAGTATATACTAGAGAAATGGGAAGCTGAAGTTCACCATGATAACCAATGGCTACAACCAAATGAAAAACTATCGTCCGGTCATGAAAACAAATGGCCCATTTAGAAATCACTGAACAGACTCAGAACTAGGGTGGGACGCTGTAAAGTTAATATGAAGAGCTGGGGACTACTGGCTGATGGAAATACGACCTGCTCTTAGCCCAAAGCATGTCCTGCTTACTCGTATGCCCATATTGTATTTATAACTTTATAAGAAGAAATTATATTGGCCAATTAAAAAGATATTAACGTATAATACTGGGCGAAGACTATTTAACATTCACACCATCACTCACGACATTACCAGAACAAGCTATGATTATATTATTATTTATACAACATTATATTAATACCTGTTACTATTTATTTTATTTTTTTTATCATCATAATGTTATTTTATTACTATTTATACTCATGTCTAAAACGAATATATGTATATACATGTATATATAGGTAATATGGTATCTAATCATGCATAACTTTAGTCGATCATTTGAATATCTGATCGAGGACGTTTAAAATAATAGAATGCAAAAAATAATAACATTATAAATATGTTTCGCCCAAAATATATAAACGTTATTTAAAAAAATAATCCAACTACATTATTTATTTACATGAACATATTTATAGTTTAAGGTACTTAAAGGTTTGCATATTCATACAGTTGATGATCTTGTGCAGTCATGTGGATATTAATCTCAAGTTATCTCATCATACTATGTGATTAGAGTGAGGTCCATTCTTCAAGATTTCAATTTTATGTATATTGCCATATTACAGCTGTCTACTTGTCCTTGTT